TAAAATAGATTTTTATTTTTTGGTTATGAGAAAAAATCTTCAAATTTTGAGGTCTATTCTGTACTGTTTCCATGGGATCTTCTGGTTAAAATGTCAAACAGCAGGGTCATATCAGCTGTTGCTAACTAACAATAATTACCATTAAAGGACAGGCCAATATGAAAACCGCTTTGTATTGTTTTTCAGTGGTAGAAGTACTGTAGTGCTTACATTCTTTACTTAAGTAAAAGTATAATGTAGTGTAACAATGCTCTGTTACATGTAAAGGTCCTGTATACAAAATCTTACTTTAGTAATAGTGCAGCAGTATTAGCATCAAAATATACTTAAAGTACCAAAGTAAAAGTAGTCATTATACAGAATCATGCATTTCAAATTGATTTAAATTATGTCATTGGATTGTAAATACTGATTCATTGTGTTCATCACTTTAATGGTGCAGCTGGTAAAGGTAGAGCTAATTTGACCTTCTGCTGGGTAGCTTGTAAATTTCCCACCAGAGATCACTGAAGTGTTATGATGAGGCTTTTACTGTATGTTTTTTTATTCATCTGATTCTGAAAAACAATTAGGAGTTATCAAATGTAGTGGAGCAAAAAGGTATGGTAAGATATAAAATAGCAGAAAGTGGAAAAAAGTTTAAAGTAGAGCAGTGTCAGTGGTTGGACACCTGAGCGGACCCGGCTCTCAGACGTGACTGCCACTACAAGCCAGCTGAACCAGCCACTGTTCAACCTGAGCAAATACAATGCAGATGCTGTGTCAAGCCACAGGAAAAGTAAGGAAAGACCAGGTGAGAAGGGGAGGATGGGCTCAGATGTGCAAAATATCAAAATATTAAGTTATTCACTGTTATTAGAAAGAGAAAACTAAAATAACTCAATTTCTTTGGAATAATGCAGAAAGTGCAGCATAGAAACCAGTCAAACAAAGGCAAAGGAAAACAGTTTTCAGTTTAGACTTGAAAGTGGCAGAGTTGGGGCACATTAGAGGTCATCTGGAAGTTGGTTCCATCTGTGTGCAGCAGAGTAGCCAAAAGCAGCTTCAGCCAGTTTGGCTCTGACTCAGTTTTTAGAGAGTCCTGTTGGGTCTGTATTCTTCAAGGAGATCAGAAATGTGTTTTAGCCCCATTCTATTGAGTGATTTGTAAACTAGCAGAAGCACTGGGCATCATATACTGAGAAGGCCAAATACAAAATTCAATAACCCTTTTAATAAATCTTGTGTAAAATTTGCAATTAGTAAGAGGTGTTGATTTTTTTTCCTGCATGCATGATTTTTATGAAGTGTGTTGGTTTGTCTTTCTGTGATCAGAGAGACATTAGGTAGGTAGGTACTTTATTGATCCCTCAATGGGGAACAAACAACATAACACCATACACATTACATTATAAGCCTAACTTTTTTCAATGTATCTTCCAATAGGCCACAGAATGGTGTCAGAGGGCAGTGGACGAATGTATGGGATTTCATGCGCCGAGTAGTCACCAGTGTGTTATGAGAAGGACCGACAGTGTGCTGGGCACATCGACACCAGCCACAAGTTGATCAGGTGAGAAACATATTCTAAGGGTTTAGTGGTTCAAGTGAGTGCTGCTGTTCTACCACTGACAAGTTCAGGCCAAACAGTCCTTTCTCATCATTTTTCCTGACAAATGCATTTCAAAAATAGACTAAATTTGATATGAATTGTAATCAAAATGGTTTTATCCGTAAACTAACATGAAACACAAACAGCCTATAACATTTCAAACCTAGTTTAAATCATGACATTGTGGGACAGCGGCTGTAAATTAACTGGTTTCACTCTGCATTTGTATCTACCACATCTAAACACCGTCTCAGAATGAAATGTAGTGTATATGACAGTTTCACTTACTGTATGATAAAGATTTGTTATGTGGCTTAAAAAGTTCAGCAAGCCCATATTGCTTGATATAAAGCTTTGTTTCATCTGTGATGTTTATAGCTTAACATCTTCATAACTCCATAATGATTGACCTTCATTGCTCTCAAATGACAAATGCAACACAAAATAATTTGACGGTGCAGCTGAGATTTATCTTTTGTAGATAAGCTTGTTTAAATGAGGTAAACACTGCTCTGTGTGATTAGTTTTTTTTACTCTACAGACATGAAATGTTTGTTTGGAATTGACAGATTTTCCAGAAATGTCTGTGCACCTGAGAATTTATTTAGTCATATAAAATGTAATTCACTGAAGTATCTTGATTAGGAAAAACAGCTAAGTATAATGCAGACGTTAACTCGGATTTGTTGTCACAGATCCTGTTCCTCCAAGTGCCACCCCACAACTCTGAAGTTCTTTCTTGAAGCTACAGAGAAATATGGCTTTCCATCCAGGTAGGGACTGGTTTTGCTTTTGATATAAAGATTTAAGTAAAAAATCATTTGATTAAGCAACTTTGGTGCACTAAAGTCTAGCTTGATCTCATTTCTTTACTTTGTGTCCAAGTGCAAATTAAAGTGTGATATGGACCAAAGGTTTAGAGAACAAACTGTCTATTTGATCTCTTTTCAGGATAGAGCACCTGTGGCATGACAGACTGCTAGATCCAACAAACTGTGCTTGTGGCTTCTCTGCAGTTTGTTTGCCAAAAATCCAAGCTGGTCTGGATGCATTCACTGAGGGATGGAACAACCCTTCACTCCAAACAGAATGCAACTACACTAACCTTTGGGGACATTGTCAACCCTCCTGAGAACAATGAGGTAAGAGAAAATGATGCTGCTGTTTCGTAATGGTGTTAAAGATCTTTAATTTCACAATTGTTGTAGAAACACTTGCTGGTACTGAGTCATTCACAAAATGCATTTCAAAGTGATCTCCACAGTTAGGCAATGTTGATTCATTTCAGGTGGACTCGTTTCCAGATGTGTACATGGATTATGCTGGAGTACAGTTTCTAGAACCAGTTTTACAATTGCAGACCAAAATCAGACAGCTTTTAAAGATGACTATTACAGTAAATATTCACCATTCTACAGCATCAGATGACATTGCCAATTTCAGTGTGCTGCAGCATGGAATATCCTGGCTCTTAACTGTCCACAGTAACGAAGGACATGAAGCAGAGCCTGATAGGTACTGAACTTTGTTTTGACCTATGTCGAGTTCCTCACATGTTCCACAGTTATGAAGACTTCTCCAGTCATGCAACTGCATTGCAGTTCACCTGTTGCATGCTGCTCACTTGGTTCTCCTTCATATCCTTTGTTAGACAGTTAAGTCAGACATTTATATACTGCAGCACACTCTGAAACAGTAGTTGGAAGTGCATGCACACAGCTTGTGAAAGAGGTGAGGTACACTGCCTTGAGAACTTCGGCACCTGGCTGAGCTGCGATGGAGTGGCTGCAAAAGATTTAAAAATGTTTTTCTAAAAGCTTCACTGCATTAATAATTAATTATAAACTTGTCTGTTTCAGTGTATGTCTTCAAGAACCTGTTTTACAATTCTAGATGCACTGTGTATGAACAATCGTCATTTCATGGCCAGGGAATCTTGTTGAAGATTGCCTAAAGGGTTAATGGCTAAGGCTTGTGACCAGCAGAGGGACAAAGTCAGCAGTGTTGCCTTTTCTTGGGACCTGCCACCAGTAAATCGGAGATGGCTGTTCTGATAACATGGCTTTTGTTTTTCCCCACTGTTTTGTCTTAATACTAAATGCTGACTTGGAACTTTTCAGTGTCCACTCAGCAGTATACTAAGGTGTGCTCACTGGCCAGGTTCAAATACTATGCCCACTAAAGAAAAGCTAAAACCTCAATCAACATTATACTTACACCAATCAGGAATAACAATATGACTACCTGTACATCTGTGTATATGAAGCTCAAAATGTTTGTTTTTGGTGAGATTGTCATAAAATGTATAAATTCAGTTGTGTGTTCATTATTGAGGTCAGAGTTGTTCCTAATATTCTGTAGCTGAGGAGGACAAAAATATATAGACACCTCTGAACATAATGTAGTAATGTAACCTGGCCAGTGAGCGCACATTAATAGCATTTACTATTAAGAAAACACTGGGGAAAACAAAAGTTAAGACATCATCTCACCACATGTTAAAGCAATTGTCAGAACAGCCATCTCCGATTTACTGGTGGCAGGTCCCAAGAAAAGGCAACACCACTGACTTTGTCCCTCTGCTGGTCAACCAGGCTCATCACCATCAGGCCTAAGAAACAAAACAACATTAATTTTCATAATACCCATCAAACTTTTGCTCTTATTTCATGAAACAGACCATAATTTTTCATCTGTTTAACAGTAATGTGAACTGCTCTGCAGTTGTCAAGCACTACAGTCATAAAAGGTCCCAGATAAGCAATACTAAACTGAAGGAACATGAAATTTAACTTTGTGAAACTATCCAAAACAATAAGAATGTTAAATACATATTTAGCAACATTCTGAATAATGAATTATTACTCACCAGCTGAATCGTTGCCCAGATGTCAAACCCTGTTCCATCACTGATCTGTAGTGCGAGCCCATTAGGTTTTGGATCACCTTCTTCACACTGGGTTGTGTGGCTCAGATGTCTGGATTTCATGTCATACTCAGTAGGTCTTCAAATGCACTGTATTCATCAACAAATAAATACATTGAGATACAATTGAATGGATTTTGTTTTTCAGTTTCACAGTGGAATGAACTTGCCTTTCACCACATACTGGCAATGAAACATCTCTTGAATAGTAGTTGCCACAAACAAGACAGGTAGGTGGAGGAAAACAAGAACTAAATATTACGTATATCTATACAAAGCATGGTTAGTCCTACTGTTGTGCATATTGCCCAAATACAGCAAGTGAACATGAGTAATGATTAAGTATTATCAAGTAGTGCAGTCCCAATATAATTTACAAAATCATACAGTACACTGACTGTCCATTTTTAATAAACTAATCAAATATGATTTCGGAAATTGTTTTCTTGAGTACCATATCGTATTTTAATGTTCAGAAAATCACTACTAAAAATTGAGAAGTGGTGCAAGAAGTACTCAAGAGTGAAACAGGTAGGTCTAATATGGTACTGCGAACTGGTACAGAAGTACTTGATGGCTGATAATCTTTCAGATATTACCCATAAGAGGGAAATAAAGGTGATAGGAGGCAGAAAACCCCTTCTGCAATAAAAATAAAAGCATTATTGTCATTTTTCTAGTGATACAGCTATAATTACAATTACTCCCTCAACTTCTTCAAACTTTTTCCACAGATATACTTTCATAGTAGCACAGGAACGCAAAATCGTGTCTGTATTTTATTACAGTGTGATTCTGACAAACTGGCCAATGCATGCTTAATTCAGTTAAATACATTAGAAAATATTGGAGTTTTTCCAGACGTATGGAAACCTTGATATTTCACCTTGTACAAATTTATCTATCAAGTTGTACCATGGTTTCTATTGTTATGGTGGGCATACCTGTCCAGAGCTTAATGAAGAAGAGGTCAGTTTGTTCTTGAAGAGGGAGAAGGTAAACCATGCATTTCCCATTGTTGGTGATCATCTTCAGCATCTTGGCTTTGTAGCTGTGTGTCCCCTGTGCCACCAGAGACTGGTTCCTTTGGTCACTACCACCCTGAATGTAGAAGAGGAGATATTACTAGAGT